GACAGTTGGCCACAATTTTCTCTTTTTGTTCATCATTTTGTAGCTCTTTAAGGTCAAGAACACATACTTTTCTAGTTAGTGATTGAGTCGAGGAGGTCAAGGTCACATCGAGAATAGCCTTTGACCTGCTGACCATTAAATCTAAAGTTTCAATTTCTGGTGATGACCTGCCTTTTTTATCTTTTAAGTAACATGAGGACTGTTTACACTGTTATAATCTAGACATTGATTATACAAACTTTAAATGTGAACGTCACAGTGACCTTCACATTTTACCCGAGGATAACAAATCGATAGATGCCATCTACTGTTCATAGTAGACAGTGCGATGATGACAGTACGGCAGTACAATGGTAACAGTACGATTGTACGATGGTGACAATACGATAGTACGGCACTGCTATGTTTCGCGCTTTTCGATCTCAGAGAAAACTCGCTGGCCCTAATGAAACACCGTAAAAAACTTTTGGCCAGATGGTTATTTATTAATTTATTTAACTTTAAGAGTGCTGTGTGTCATTATGCCCTTCGGCAACAAAACTTATAGAAGTCATTTTCTGGTGTCATGACAAACCGTACTACTAAATATGAAGATAAAAATATTCTTTTGCTTTTTATCGGACATTTTTTTCGTTAAGATCACACTGATCTTGACCTTTGATCTACTGACCTTAAAGGAAATTATTAAATGTTATTTATATAGACCTACATTAAATGATATAACACCTCATTCAATCGCAGAAAACCTTGGCGGAGTCCCTTTAAAGCAATTACAGTGTTCTTCAGTTGGAATCCCTATATTCTATACCGTAGTAGCCATAGACAAAGGGAGAGAACTGCATATACAACCTCTGCTTACTTACGTGTAAGATTACTTTCCTTCGAGTGAAAATCAAAAAATAAATGGGAAGAAAAAAATCAAAATATACAGATATTGTAATGCGATTTAACGAATGATGATATTAAAGTCTACAGAGACCGCATTTTTCATTATACATTTTTAGGTGTTATCAAACATGATGCATGAAATTTAAGGCAATTAATACTAAAAAACAATTAGCATGAGACAAACTATTTTGACAGCAGTCCTTTACTATTGATAAAAGAAACATTATTTTCTATGGCCTATATTTTGATTTGAATAAACTGTAATTTCTACAAATGCTTAAAATAATTGTATACTAGTTTATCAATAATATAGGTTTCCTTTGTATGAGTCTTGTAAGTTGTTTTTATTCCAGTCAGTGATGACATGATCTACAACTACTGGGTTGCTTTAAATCATTTCTATAGAAGCATCTTTAATAACAGAAAGAAAAAACACCCGAAATTCAAATTTTATTTAAAAATGCACAAAGCCTTTACTTTGGTATAGAATTTGAAAAAAAACACACAAACATACAAGGTACATGTCTTACAAAACATATATCAATATTCAAATACATGTACATGCATGTCATTGTGGTAAAAATCAAGACTGAGCCGCGTCACGACAAAACCAACATAGTGCGTTTGCGACCAGCATGGATCCAGACCAGCCTGCACATCCGCGCAGTCTGATCAGGATCCATGCTGTTCGCTTACAAACCCTATAACAAGTAGAGAAACTGATAGCGAACAGCATGGATCCTGATCAGACTGCGCGGATGCGCAGGCTGGTCTGGATCCATGCTGGTCGCAAAACCATTATGTTGGTTTTGTCATGGCGCGGCTCATATAACATTTACGTCGTATGTTCATCATTTGTTCCACGGTACAATGTACATTATTTTGATAAAAGTAAATAAAGTTCTTAATCGAAATGTCGCCTTACCGTACTAGTGTCACTTGACTTTTTTCGAAGAAAAAAAAAGTTATTATTACGGTCATGTCGGCGTTCCTGTACCAGTTTGCTTGCTTTATTTTTGTGTGTATTGTCTTCAACTTGGTCATAACAAGACTTTCAAGTACACCAGGCTTACCCTGACCTTCATTCATAAATGACCTTGACATTCAAGGTCAAATATAAAAATTTTGCTCGGTTTTTACTATAAGTAGGTATAACCTTAGTATTTTTTAATTGATTGTCACAACAATATTTTAGGAAAGACCACTATGTTAACCAGACATACACTGACCTTCACTCATAAACGACCTTGATACTGAAGGTCAAATTATTAAAATTAAATTTCAATTTTCCCTGATTTTTGCTAAAATTGACTGTAACGTTGTAATTAATGAATTATCTTCATATTTGGACAAAATAACTCTTTGGACAAGTCCTTTTAAAAGTTTGAAATCGCGTTGTCCTTGGTCTTTAAGTGACTTTGACAGTTAAGGTCAAATTAATGAAGTTTGGTAAAAATATAATTTTGTTTCGAATCGGTTCCTGAAACCAACCGGTACTTATCAATGAAACTCACGAAATTGTGAAGTTCAAAACTTGAATTCACGAATTTGTGATGTTGAAATCGTGAATTTATGAAGTTGAAATCGTGAATTCATGAAACTGTAATAGGGAATTCATGAAGTTAAAATCGTGAATTCACGAAGTTGAAATGTCCCAAGTGTTTTTTATGTTATAGATGAATCATTTTTTGCTTCAGTTGTCATTATGAAAACTGCAATTTTGGCTCATCTTACTCACCGTGTATATCCAGTAACGCCTGGCCCCGTGTTCACAAAGAAAAGATCAGGATCAGGATCAAGTGATCCTGATTTTATTTTCTTTGTTTTATATAACTAATATTGATCGTATTTTGCTAGAATTGAATGGTAAATAAAGTTAATGTAATATTTTGCTGATTTGCAAAGAAACAATCCTGTTTTGGGATAAAATAGACAAATAACGAAACAAATACAAAAATAATGGGATCAAAATAAGGATCAATTTTAGGATCAAGATCAATATTTGGATTAACTGTAAAATGCCCATATCTTTCAAAAATTACAATAAATTTATTCTTTAATTTCAAAAACATGCTATTTCAAGTCAGTTTTATCAAGCTAATATTAAATATCTAATCTATAAGAATTAACAATGGATAATATTTGAGTTTTTAGATTTGATCCTGATCTTGATCCTGATCCTAAAATCTTTGTGAACACGGGGCCAGAATGTGAAAATAACGCACGATTCATGCAAGAAGTAACGCAGAATTGTGCAATAAATGGCGGATACTTGACAGGATTTCCAACACGGTAAGAAAACTGGACAATATATTTTTATTTAACCCAACTGAAAAAAAATGAATAGCTGCTTATACGGCTGCAAAGACATTACTCTTTATCCCTCATCAAGATTATTTCCACGAAATTGTTTACTTTTCAAGATCATTCGTGAAAATGATAACTCGACTATCGGTATAGAAAGAAATATTTATTCATTTCAGAGGAATAATGTGCCTTAAACAATTATATTGTTTCGCACATCCTTTGTTTGTGTTTATCTATTTGAAAAAATGCCTCTGAAGAATGCCGAAAGACTGAAATTTATTATAAATATGTATGCAATGTATGTTTACAAAGACACTGTACAAATATGAATTATAAACAATAACAGATGAAAATGATTCAATATGTACAATCAGACACAAAAATCTAGAAAAAAACACTTTCTTTCATAATATACTTTCTTCATGTACATTTAAAGGTCAAAGTTTCTCAGGTGTTAGTACCAGCGGTTGAGGTGTTTTAGTGATCGAGGCGTCAAGGAGGGTTGCCACGAGCCATTGATGACATAGAGTTAAAGCAGTCATTACCACGGATCAACACAATCAGATCGCTGGTTTTCATATATTCAGATAATTCAGGTATCCCAAGTATTTAAACTATGTTTTGTTTCCATGGTAATTTAATGTCAAGTTTAAACACTCTTTTACGCTATCTACTTCAGATATCTGTGTCAAATTTGTCTTTAGGAACTGCTTTTGACTTGCCGGCGGATGCATTACTTTTTCTGCGGGCTTCATCAAGGTTGCTTTCTCGTCGCTTAGTAAGAACCTCGCTGGGGCGCTTTGCTAAAATGAATGATTAAATGAATGAATGTGCTATATTACACATAAAGCAATAATTGATCTAAAAATTATTATTGTTTTCTAGTTAACATAGTTTTTATACCTTAAAATCAATTGAAAGTTATGATTTAAAATGGAAAATGAAAGAAGAAACACATGTGTAACTGACCTTAATAAAAAATCAACTAAATATTTCAACAAAGTCTGATACTCTTTATATCAGTTTAAGAAAGATCAAACCAAATTTAATTCTCACATGTGACGTACACGACAGTCTGACTAACGCAACACAAATTACTTATAGAATACATACCAAAGTTAAAAACTACTGGCTCATCACCGTCGTCGCCGGCATGATATTTGATCAATGGCTTATTTTCCGCTGGTGTGAGTGGTGACTCCGGCGAACTTGGGGACGACACGTTCGACCTAATACTTAACTGTTTAGTCAACATAAAAGAGCTCACACCGCCTATTGGTTTCTCCGGTTTCTCCGCGCTGAAAAAAAAATCCAAAACAGACCAAAGATTGAGTCTTCTGTTACCAAGAACAATATGAAACAGTTAAGACATGATGATATCACGACCAGTTATTTTGTGAGATTCAAGCTAGGATAACCATTAGCTAGGTGGAATCAAAAGTGATTATCGTTTACAACCAGCCAGTATTGAGCCAAGCCAGCTTGCACATCCGTGAAATCATAGACCAGGCGTTATATACCGTTTGGTAGATAATACTTTGTACTTTTATATTGAAATCCTTTAAACTTTGAATGGACTGCTTCATATTTGAAATCTAGCAAATCTTTGATTTACATGTCTTGTATGCACAGTTATTGTGTCACATAAAGTTTGTTGAATTCACGTATCGTTAAACACTATGATTTATAAATATGCATTTTAAAACCTGCAGCTTTTCAAAATTGCACTCACAAGCTTTGTAAGTTTTGTAAAAGAAAGCCTCCTTGCTAACAAAGACAGTGAAAATACAAGTGTGTTTGAAAACAATGTTGTTGAATTTGTCAACCATCTCCCTAAACCAATGTGCATGTTTGAGCGAAGTTATTTAAATATTTATTTATTATTTATTATTTTTATAGGGGGTGGGGGTGGTCTTTGATTTTAATTTTCAAAGTATAGAAAGTGCTGACTTGGTTTGTAGTAAAGTAGGAAAGTAAATTCTTTCTTACACCGGTGGTTTAGTCTTCTTTTTGTGTTCATCAATTTTGTCTTGCACGTGTTTCTCGTAATCAAGAGAGTACACGTGCAGGTCATCGTTTGTAGAACGCTTTGTATCATCATCTTTTATCTGAAATAATTAAAAGATTTGAAATCACGTGTCTAACATAACAAACGTAATATCAGAACAATAGCTGCGTGCCTATAACTGATCTCAGTTAATTTTAGAAGAAACGTTATTGCTTTATTACAACCCTTTCGATTCCGCTTCCTGGACCAAATAAGAGATGTTGCCATATGAAAAAACATCGAAGTTACTTCAGAAAGGATTGAACCCAGGACTCCATGGTTTAGAGGCATAACACCTTAAAATCACTAGTTGACTACTCCCCTTTGAGCGATGGGTTATGTGTAAGTAGTCTTGTGCGGAATAAAAATAAGCATATAATGTTGATAACTTTAACAACAACAACAACAACAACAACAACAACAACGACAACGACGACGACGACGACGACGACGACGACGACGACGACGACGACGACGACGACAACAACAACAACAACAACAACAACAACAACAACAACAACAACAACAACAAACAACACCAAAACATAAATTGTGTGACGAAAACATTATGGCTTCTACTTACTTTTTTAATGTCTATAATGATATCTTTCAAATAGAATATTTCCGTGGTTTAGGAATATATCTTAAGAGACTATTTTATACACAAGTATGGAATAAGTAGTGTTTGAAGTATACAGTGGCATGCACGCTTTGTAGAGGAAAAACGTAGTTTTGTTGATATGGTTATAATAGAAAGGAAAACATTTTTTTTCTCTCTGTGACAACTTTTCGTGATTACAACAGAATAGAGCCATATCAGATTTCATATCTGAGCTGTTAGGCAATTCAGATTGCCATTGATACAGTCCCTGGGGATGTTTTGTGTGCATAAACGGTCCATGGATAAATGTAGTATCAATATTAAGCTACAAACATTGTATTTGAAGTTTACAAAAAAGTTTGGGTAGACATGTGAAATCATGGTGCATTTTTGAGTAATCTAAGATGGCCGCCAATGCATTTTATCTGATGATTTGAAAATATGGTCTTTTTGTATTTATTTTAGTATAGGTGATGTTAGGACTCCGCATCCAATTCGGACAATATGAAAATGGGGCCTTCTCTTTCTTTTAGAAATAATTTCAGGTTGTAGTAGAAAAAAATTGCTAAAAGATTTGCATGTAAAAACATAAATAAAAGCGACATCTAACTTTATAGAGCTAGATACCATCAATGCCATCTAGCGCTGGCTTATGCAGAATTCAACATGTAACGTGGAATGGTAAAAAATTTGAATTTGAAACATCCGTAGATGTGTTCAATAGCCGGTTATCATGGAACCTTTAATATGACGCTAAGTGCCATTCCATGAGGGCTGCGTATGGTCCCAAAGTAAAAGAAAGCGTGCGCCCAAAACGAGAAAAACAATGGGCGGAACTAAACGAAATGGAAGCCTGCATATCACAGATAAGACGACACGTTTAAAGCAGGCAACATGTCGTAAGGACGACTCGACAGTATTCAAGTAGGTATATTGGAACCACCCATCAATTAAATAGAAAGAACTTAAGACTCAACAAACATGTACACACCCCTTTTTCAGATAGAAAACCACAAATGCATCTTGATGCATTATTTCAGGAACAAGTTGGCACCTTAGTAGAACCACCAACGTATAAAAAGTGGTCACAAACACACACATGTATCTGTTAGATCTAATATAAAGGTATATCTTACCTCCAGCATTTTAAGTTTTGGTACAGATTTATCTTCTGCCGACGCATGTCGTTTACGTCTGTTCTTAGATACACGTGCCATCAACACGAGGATTATAATAAACTCTATCACACAAATTATCAGGACTACGGCGAGCGCTGCCAAACCATATCTCCCAAACGCCGTTTCTAAAAGACAATTCACAAAATCATTATTACGGTAAGTTTTCTGCAATAAACTTTTCCTGCGACCAATTTTGGAGTAGTTCATTATTGATATCAAGGAAATGAAAATGAAAATTGAAAGTTAGTTGCAGGGATGTGCTGTCTGGCCTGGCTCTATACTAGTGGCATAAGGTAATCAATTTTAGTTCCAGCAGCGGTAAATGATGATACATGATAATTTAAAAGTGAACTTGGTTTAAAACAGTTCGTCTAAAGAGTGTTTATTTTCTGACATAGATAAATATACACATTTAATATGAAAGGTTTTATTAAACTGCACTACCCAAGGAGAATTTCACAGTATACAGTTCATAGAAAATTATAACAGTTATTTATATGTGGTACGATTTTGCTGTCAATGTTAATTGATCGTGATGCCATTCTGACAAGTTATTTGTAACTGTATAGGTCAAGTTTTATTATAATTATTTAACAAAGTGAGGGTTTTAGTCTTTACTGTTGTATAAATTATGCATTATTCTTTTATTGAAATGAATATAAGGTTTTAAAACAACCTTTCTCATCACAAGATGGCGGAGACGGAGATTGTTTAGATTTGTCTCCCTTTGAAGAGTCTGTCGTCGTTGAAATCTTCTCCGAGGAGGTAGTTTTGACACTTATAGTTGCTCCTGATGTACTTCCGGTTTGGGTTATAGAATTTGTTGAGGTCGAAACTTTTGTGGTTGTTGCAACGGAAGTAGAAGCTGCAGACGAAGATGTTACTGTAGATGCTGCTTTTGATGTGGTAATGACAGGCGTTGGTGTCATTGAAATAGAAGTGTTTATACCTGAAACCGGATATGTTAGATTTTTCTCTGAAACTCCTGCGTTTGTTGTTGAATTAGAATTATTGATTGAATTGATAATATAATATGACGTAAGTAGATAAATGTGACACATATACCATAGACTACTTCATATACATGTAGCTATATTTATACTGAAGCTTATGATACCATGATTGCCATATAACAATAATTTAGGTTGTACAATTTTGATAATTAATTTCATTTATTTTCTTATATTGTTTTGATTGTTTGAACAAACAATATGACGTAAAAGGAAGACACTTATCAGAAAGAAAGTAAACAATTTAAACAGCCAGAAGGAAGAAGAAAAAGCGATTGATCGTAGCTTTTTAAAGCGTTCTCTCCCGAATGAGATCTTTGCCCTATTTTTCGTATGCGCGTGCACGGTTTATCCAAATAGAAGCGACGTTTAATATAACAATCAGAAAATTCCAAATTTCCAAATTTTTGGATGAAAAAAAGTAGGTGGAAGACTTATTCCTGTAACTGCATTTCTTTTGCTTCCAAAATGAACGGTGTTTCTATACTTCGTGATGACCTATAAGTAGTACAAAAAAAAGTAAATAACTATTTAAAATGTGTTGTTTTTACCCTAAAATGGATTAGTTTAAAAGTCAGATTATCCTCTTTTTGATCCTTGAATCATTATAAACAGAAGAAATGTTTTTAAATGTACATACCATCGGTCACGTTAGGTCTGGTCACTGAAATGGTCGTTGAATACATCGAAGTTGTTGTTGTTTCTTTAGATTTCTCCGTTGTATTATTTGATGTAACGTCCGTTACGTTAGGACTATCACTCACGTTACTTGAAATAGAGCTTTGTAACAAATTAAAAATGCCGTTTGTGTTGCCAGATGTAGTTTGTGTAGATTTAGATTGGATTTCACTGTTTGGTATAGAATTAGAGACTGACGTTATTGTTTGTAAAACTGAAGTTGATACAGGTGTAGGTGAACTGGTTGTTGATATGTACACTGGAGTGTTTGTGCTAGTTGATGATGTTGAAGCAACTGTTGTACCTACTTTAACTGCTGTGGTTGACGTTGATTTTGACGATGATGTTGTCGATATTGTTGACGTTAATTTTGATGGCGTTGTTGACTTTAAGGTTGATGGCGTGGTTGAAGTTAAGGTTGATGGAGTGGTTGTAGTTAAGGTTGATGGAGTGGTTGAAGTTAAGGTTGATGGCGTTGTTGAAGTTAAGGTTGATGGCGTAGTTGAAGTTAAGGTTGATGAAGTGGTTGTCGATTTGGTCGACGCTGAAGTGGACGATGTAGTGGGCAATGTTGTTGATGATGTTGATGATGACAATGTAGTCATTGATATGTTTGAAGATTTGTCTAACGATTCAACAGCTGCAGCTGTAGAGAACATGGACGCTGAAACATCAAAATTGAAAAGCGTTTGTATACCTTTGTAAGTACAGTAAGTTAAATGGTTAATGCAACATCACGGTGTGTTCGGTCAAACGTTCGGTTAAACTACTGTAGTAGAACAGCACTGACCAGAATGTTGTACTGAACAAAATGGCATATATTAGCAAATTGCAAGCATGTTATTTTATTTAACCGTAGGATGTAATCTTACGGTTAAAAAGGACGTTAAAACATAATCTTTGTGCTTGTATCTAATTTCTTACAGATCGAAATTAGGTAAAATTATTTTCGCTTTAAAACAATGACGATATGATTATACATAAGCTCCAAATTACCCCGCGTACTCAGAAAGAATCATATCCTTACGTGTTTGCATCAGAGCCACGTCACAAAGCTACTTGTAAATTTATTCATTTTTGATTCATATCGTTCAAATATACTGTTGTTAATTCATCTTAATATTGGCCTGCCTCCCCAATGCCCTGAAGTATTTAAATCTGCATCGCCCGACAGCTTCTGACGTACTTCTTGTAATTGTTACCCCAGCATACCGGAAGAACCAACACTTGTATATTCAAGTGTATTGTGATGAGTTATATATAGAGATAGATACTAGTACATTACTAGTACACTACTTGTTACTTGTAAGAAGATATAATAATGACAATAACTGAATCTATAACTTCCGGTGTAATATATTAAGATAGATACATAGTCAACATGGAGAATTTTAAGTAAATAAAGTCACTCACTTTTTGTCCTGTAATTTATACTTTTTTTGCTTTTTTGTTGTTATTGTATTTACAAATACAATTACATAGCTAATTGTATGAGACTTTTTATTTAAGGCATGTTTTGGGTGTTTTTTTTTTATAAAGATACCGTCACTGATAACGTCATGTGTTAACAAATAATCGCATTTATAATGGGAGAACTCGTGTGTCCATTCATTGTTTCAGATCCTGTCGGACATCTAAGTAAAACTACGGACCGTTCCTTAACCTGGATATAATAAAGCGTCTCTTAAAGGATTCGAACCAATACTAACATGTATTGGTGTCTGATTAAACATCAGTAGTGCGGTTTCGTCAGATACAGAATAACAATCTATGTTTAACTTCATGATTTCAAATTATTAATTACAAAAACAAAAACTATCGCCTACGCACATAGTTAATAAAGATTACCTATGCCCCCTTAATGCCACCGTTTTTTAAAGTATCACATTCACTAACGCTAAAAAATTTAGGTTGGAAATCATGCGACATGATAACATGTAGCTCTCGCACAATTTTCTTTCCTTAATTTGTCAGGGAGGAAGTTTAGGGTTCAATAAGTGTTACAGCATTTCATTACTAAGTTAAAACTTTCTAATACATGATCTAGAAAAAACAAAGAACAGATCATAATAATGAGAAATCGATTACTGTAAATGAAAACGAGGAATCTAATTGTATGAATGATATGAGCAATGTTCATATGAACAATAATATAAAATGTGTGTTAATTCTTAAATTTCTTTTAACCGATGTGAAAAGCTTGCATACATACAGTTCTATTACATCATTTGTTTCCTTGTCAAAGCGTCCGAAGTTATACATTAAAATGTGAAACATATCTTGAATACTTACAAAAAGTAATGTTACTTTTCCTAAACAGTGTTAATATAAGGAAGAAAGAATTAAATCGTTTACAAAATATACAGAGCCCATAAGTAGTTACATTATACATGTATACACTCATTTTTGGCACACTTATTTTATTTCGTTTAAATGAAATATAAGCATTCGGTCTATTAAACGAAATAACAATTCATTTTAACGAAATAATTAAAAGGTTATGTCAATTAAACGAGATATTATTACGTTTTCGTAAAATTGGATGTGGACGATAAGATTGTTAGGATATTTTTATTCAACACACACATAATAAATTATATATTAATAATATATTTTTTTCCTTTTGATCGTGGGCAGTAAAGGATCAATAACAATAAATCGTTTCCTTTTGAAAAATGACACACAATACTTGAGAAATACATTAATTATTTCAAAAGTGTATGAATGATTTCTTGAAATTATATCAAAAGCCCGGATGAACTTGCGACTAAACACAGTCAGTATCACGTGCACTTACATAAAAGGACGTCCACTGATGTCCAAAGGCCAAAAACATAAAATTTGAATTTCTTACAGATATTGGCGTGCACTTCAAACAGAAAGCTATGCAGAATATATTTAAGAAATATAGAAAGAAATAAACTGAAATTCGTATATTGTGCTTTTATTTGCCCGATTTCGGCGAAAAGCGTGGCAACGCTTTTCTGTTTGGGTTAATTTTCGCAACTAATGGAACAGTAACCACGAAATATTATTTCCAGTCCCGCCATGTTAAAAGCTCAGTGGATTCCCTTTAAACTATTTAGTTGTATACATCATTAACTTATTTACAACAAAGGGCTACTTATACATTTGCGACTGAGAGCTACATGTATACATGTAAAACAATGGAAATATCCCCTACTAAAGAATAGCAATTTCACTAGCGTCCCCAAACCATTAAACCGAGGAACAAAATTTAGTGAATAAAATGCCATGACTTTCATAAATATAAAACAATAACGTGATAAATGAGTTACAGAAAATTTATTTAAGGTAACAAAGTATCGATCACCGAGTTATATTAGCTTATTATATAGAGAAGTTCAAATATACAGAAACTGTCGTCGCTAAATAGCCTTCAAGCAGCACTGTTCGATCGTGAAATTTATGTTTAAATCTCTCTTATTTCATTATCATGTTTTCTATTTTAAACTACTAGATTTTAGTCTTAAAGACGACACCAGACGAAAAACAATTTGTACTTTTCATGTATATATTGTGTAGATCCGTCTTCAGAAACAATTAGTTATTGACAAAAGTATATTTTACAAACAGTACTTACATTGGTGAAGAGATAGTACACATAAAGTCATCATAACAAACTTTATCTCTCGAGACATTTCTAGTTTCCCTCCCATATTTGTTTTAACTAAATAAATGTTTTGTTTTTATAAAACAAGTCATCTCAAATTTTTATAACTCTAACACAATAGTGCAGTAAGTTTGCAAAGTGTTTCCTTTACACTCTAAGCGCTGTTTCCGGCCGATAAGAAAATCTTCGCGCATGCGTGTAGCGTTTCCCGCGTAAAACAGACACTAAAGTCAATTATTTTGTTTATGTTTTCAATGAATAAATATCCTCGCACGAGTCACCTTTTAAGCTTCAAAATATAACTATGAGCATGTCATCAGAGAAAAATCAGAGAAATATATGTGTGTATGTTATTTCCCCTGGTCTTTACGTCGGTTTTAACACATTTCTTAAGGGCTTATCTCAGTGGTCGGTCAAGCAAACCGGGTTTCCCGGATAACTAACCAGCAATAGCGAATATCGCAAGTGACCGACTTCTAATCCCAAATGACCATGATTTCTGAATCAGTGATGTTAGACAAATAAGTAGCCATTAGACTTAGATTTCCGAGATTGGAGCTAGGCGGGACAACTACTGGTACTGATATTACAATTGATGTCACTAAGGTAAGTTTGCTTAGTTTAGTTTCATACTATTCATAATACAATGTAGTTTATTGTATATTTGTACCTGATATGACTTATTGGTACTTGTGTGGACTTATTGGCACAGGTTTGGGTATATTGGTACTGGTGTGGGCATATTGGTACTTGTGTGGGTATATTGGTACTTGTGTGGACTTATTGGTACAGGTATGGATATATTGGTACAGGTGTGGACTTATTGGTACAGGTGTGGGTAAATTGGTACAGGTGTGGACTTATTGGTACAAGTGTGGGTATATTGGTACAGGTGTGGACTTATTGGTACAGGTGTGGGCATATTGGTACAGGTGTGAACTTATTGGTACAGGTGTGGGCATAATGGTACAGGTGTGAACTTATTGGTACAGGTGTGGGTATATTGGTACTGGTGTGGGTATATTGGTACAGGTGTGGGTAAATTGGTACAGGTGTGGACTTATTGGTACAAGTGTGGGTATATTGGTACAGGTGTGGACTTATTGGTACAGGTGTGGGCATATTTGGTACAGGTGTGGACTTATTGGTACAGGTGTGGGCATATTGGTACAGGTGTGGGTATATTGGTACAGGTGTGAACTTATTGGTACAGGTGTGGACTTATTGGTACAGGTGTGGGCATATTGGTACAGGTGTGAACTTATTGGTACAGGTGTGGGTATATTGGTACTGGTGTGGGTATATTGGTACAGGTGTGAACTTATTGGTACAGGTGTGTATGTGTTGGTAACGGTGTGGATTTATTGGTATATGCGTAGGCATATAGATACTGGTGTGAATATATTTGTCCTTATTGGTACTGGTGTCGATTTATTGGTACTGATGTGGAATTATTGGTACCGGTATAGATTTATTGCTCCTGGTGTGGTGTGGGCTAATTGGTACTGGAGTGAACTTATCGATACTGGTGTGAACTAATTGGTACTGGTATGAACTTATTGGTAATGGTGTGAACTTATTGGTACTGATGTGGATTTATCGGTACTGGTGTGAACTTATTGGTAATGGTGTGAACTTATCGGTACTGGTGCGATTTTATCGGTACTGGTGTGAACGTATTGGTACTGGTGAGACTTTATTGGTACTGGTGTGAACTAATTGGTACTGGTGTGGACTTATTGGTACTGGTGTGAAATTATAGGTACTGGTGTGGACTTTTCGGTACTGGTGTGGACTTTTTGGTACTGGTGTGGACTCTTTGGTACTGGTGTGAACTTTTTGGTATTGCTGTGAACTAATTGGTACTGCTGTGAACTAATTGGTACTGGTGTGGACTTATTGGTACTGGTGTGAAATTATAGGTACTGGTGTGGACTTTTCGGTACTGGTGTGGACTTTTTGGTACTGGTGTGGACTCTTTGGTACTGGTGTGAACTTTTTGGTATTGCTGTGAACTTATTGGTACTGCTGTGAACTTATTAGTACTGCTGTAAACTTATTGATACTGATGTGGATTTATTGGTTCTGGTGTGGATTTATTAGATCTTGTGTGGATTTATTAGTTCTTGTGTAGATTTATTGGTTCTGGTGTGGATTTATTAGTTCTGGTGTGGATTTTTTTATTAGTTCTGGTGTGGATTTATTAGTTCTGGTGTGGATTTATTAGTTCTGGTGTGGGATAATTGGTCTTAAATGACAGCATTTCGTTGTCATCTTATTTGTTAGCAGTTGGTGCACTGATCATATAAAGCGAAACTCCATGAAAAGGAATTAAGTAGAGGAACTTTTATGCTTGTTTTCCAATCCATATATATTGCGATGTTAAATGATATATGCTTGTAAATTTGCTAAATAAAATATGTTTAAACTAACATTCAGTGCAAAAAGGCGAATAATGGACAATCAAAAAGCGAATGCCCAATATACGTCAAACAACAACAATAAACCATTGAGTTATAAATTTAAACATAATCTCTATTATCAATACGTGACTTCAATTTCTATACAATTACGATCAAAACAAACTTAAAAAAGATATTTAAACACTGTTAAAAGTAAAATGTATTTACGCGTATTTATTTTCTACCTTTATCCGTAGATATATCTGCTAATGATTTTCCAATACATTTCATCTTGTTGAACTATATACAAGTATATTTTCACTTCAGGTCATTCAAGCAGATGTTTGACACACCATTATTTTGATTTAAATATAAAACATATACTTGTACACCTTAGGAAAGGATATTTTAGGAGAAGATAAAGCTGTGTGTCACTTGGATATTGAAATATTGAGCACAAAGTCGCATATGGAACATTAAATAAAATAAATATACGTGTTCACAATGGGTATTTCTTTATATTAAATGCATGAAAAATATTTTGATGACGTGCATGGGATATCTTGTACATTCATTGAACTATTACAGATATAATTATGAACAATATGTAATTACAGTCAAACCTGCGCAAAGACAACATTAAGGTAAGTTTAAAGATAGACAACCTGTAACTAGTGGCTTCCCGCTCCCTTTAAACATTTTAAAGTACAGAATGATATAACTTATTTTGATAACCCATATTTCTACAATCCAACTTCTGTTTCTTTTAACTGTTATTGAAAAAGTGATTGTTTTGATGTATGGAAAACTAGTTTCAATATTGTCACTAAGAAGAATACAATATGGTTTATAGACGAAACTTTCCTCAGGCTTAGATAACAGTACATTTGTGATTATGGCAAAATTAACCATGACGGCTGAATGTAGAACTTATTTGAACATCCATAGTTTATTTAGCGTACAGACCAAGGCAGTGATTTTCCTATACTTTTATTAGCATATTCATGGCGTTTAGACCGTTTAAATGGCGACTTGAAAGATTATTGGAATTTTAAGACGAAAACGTTATAAACCTATGTTTTTCATTGTTATTAACGTTTACAACTAGATTATTTCTGAAATGTTTTAAAACCTTTTAAACGAAAACTGTATAATCTGTGCTCACTATACATCAGCCTTGCATAAATCGGCGGCCATATTGGACGCCATGTTGGATTTTGAAGCGTTGTGAAAGCTGAATCTTGTAAGATTTATATTTTTAGTAAATGAGAGATTTCAAAGTGATCTTGTGTAACTGCCTTTTTATTCTAAAAACGATAAACACTCATTTTCATATAAGCTAATGAAATATAAACATGTATAACCATTTATCCTAATAACATAAAATGCAATGTAGCGTGTAAATTTATCAGATTTAAGATACACATCAGTGAATATTTATTTATACATTTATGTTTTAAGTCAATATTTCAGTGTTTTAAAGTTACAGCATGTTCACCGGGGTGAACAAATATGACGCGAAACAATGTTGTTTTCGTTTCAACATCTGTTGTTTTTTTTTCTTCTCACGGTTTATTCAATGTAATAGCATTTTTCTAATAATAGTTACCGTACGAGGAATACTAGTACGTCTGCTTTGTGGCGTTGAAAATGGAAAATTGTGCGTCGTGATCGCTTTAAACAGTCACCATAATATGAAGACCTATTAGTCTTACCTACATGTCGTTTTGTTTTTTCTTATTAAACATCATTATTGTAAATATTAATCATAGGAAACCTATAAATTATATCATTTATTTTGTTTGACCAAGAAATAGTCCCACACTCCTCAAAAATACCAACCGCTACGCTTTTGTATAAGAGCATTAAATAATTTAAGGTGTTATAAAAAAAAATTCACGTGTTTTTCCTGGGATTTCATTACGTATATAGGTCAGGTAGTTTGAACTATTATAGACAATATTAACTAGGCAAAAGGTAAGATTTCTATTCTTTTTCATACTGTCACCATAGCACTGTCGTACTGTCACCATCGTACCGTCGTACTGTCACCATCGTACCGTCGTACTGTCACCATCGTACTCTCGTACTGTCACCATCGTACCGTCATACTGTCATCATCGTACCGTCGTACTGTCACCATCGTACTGTCGTACTGTCATCATCGTGCCGTCGTACTGTCACCATCGTACCGTCGTACTGTCACCATCGTACCGTCGTACTGTCACCATCGTACTGTCGTACTGTCAAAATTGTACTGTCGTACTGTCACCATATACTTTCGCACTTCACCATCATATTGTCGCCTTCCTGTCAAGCATGCGCAAACATTTCACTCAACATGGCTTCAGACGAAGTGACATGCCTTTATTTATCTTTTCAGTTCTTATGACATGGTAAACGTTTCCTCCAAGTTTATATTGTATTATGCGCATGCTTAACAGGAAGGCGACAGTACAATGGTGACAGTACGATGGTGCGATTGCGAAGCGTGACAATTACGATGGTGACAGCAATGTCGTACTGTCGCTTTTTGCAATCGTATTTTCTTATATATAGAGAAAAATTGAACAAAAACAGGCCGTAACGTAAAGCGACCGGAATGTGATTTACCATACCGTTTATAACAAAAGAGCTAGTAAGTAAATCAGGAATCGTAAATTGTTTCTTTTATGACAATGGAGAAAACTTTTATTTTTTACGATTAATATCGGAGGGAATTATCAAATTAGCTTTGCAAATTATGAATAGATCT